ACATTGCATTTAAAATCGTTCTGTGTGGACACGAATAAAAAGGTGAATTGAAATCGTGTTGGTGAACACGAATCAATAGATTAAATTAATTTCGTGACTAATAACACGAAATGCCGTGAGACTGGGTTGTGTAAACATGTTCTTGCTAGCCTAGACTAGCTGTTGTTCATAGTAGATTGGCATATTACACTGAACAACTAGCAAACGTAGGTTAGCATATTAGCTGGCAAGCTAACTGCGTTGATTAGATAGATAGATTAGATAGATACACACTACCACAACTACTACTAACGAATCTAAAACAACTAAGTTTTAGTCTAACTCTAATATTTTGTGATTTGGATTTGATTTCGTCCAGCCAGATCAGGAAACTCCTGGCGTATCTGACAGACAACACACACACGGGATGACCCACTCTGATGCCTCGTCCTAAAAAGCCCCAGCACCAGCTTACAGAGCTGCGATAGGCAAGATGCTGAAAACGCCTATAAGGGGAGGAATGGATGATATACAGTGTATATGTATATTACACATGTTCATTTTGTACATTTCTAAAAATAAAGTTTGATGGAAATACTTAGTATCCTTTCTTCCCTGAATTATTTGCTCCTATAACATATCATTCATATATAGCAAACCATGATTTGATTTCTCATCAAACAGTAGTAGTTTATTACAGGTAAAAATAACTTACTCTTCTATAACAACAGTTGTAGGTACAGTTCGGTTAGTTAGCGTATAAAATATACGGCTGTACCGACGCCATTATAAGACTGATGTTCCGCTCAGAGCGAGCCGAAAAAAGCCTCTCTGGTGGTTGACTAATCAGAACAGAGTGGCCGAGCCGACCAATCGGAGCACATTGGGCTTACAGGGAGGGGGGTCAAGAGCTTCAACGAGCCGTTTAGGACAGAGAGTGAATACCGGTGACTAGGGATGGGTATCGTTAAGGTTTTAACGGTACTACTACTTTTATCGATACCGCTTATCGGTCCGGTCTTTTAACGGTACTCTTATCGGTTCTTTTGGAGAGAAAAATGAGGTAAACTAACTATATGTTGTATGTCAGGGACTACGGATGGAAATTAGCTCAAAGCTAAAATCCGGCATATTTACACTTGAAGCATTATTTGTCTAAAGTGTTCATTAATGTGCATTGTCCCTATTCAAATATACAATTAAATGAAAATTAACAAATTGTGAACAAAACTAACATTGCTTTTTATTTAAATGAAATACATAGGCTAATATTTCACATCAACAGAAACAACAACGTTTTAAAACAAATCATATTAAATAATCTGATGACAGAACTGTAAACAGAATGGCTGAAACTTTAACAAACTAAATAACTCCGTTCCCTCTAATCATTAACTCATGTTTGAATCATTGAGTTAACTCCGTGTGTTGCTGCTAGTATACATAATATACCTGACGTGGAAACGTTACTCGTGGATGGGGCTACAGAGCTACTAGAGAGACAGTCGAACCCGGTGCATTTCTCCGTCTGAACGTGGAGCATTTTTGCAAGATGTTTAGACAAATTGCTCGTGTTACCGCCCTGACATGCTAAACTCTTATTGCACTTTAGGCAACGAGCGAGACGGGTAAAGTTAACCACACCCTCGGAGCGCGTTCTCTCCGCCATCTCCTCCGTGTGTGTGTGTGTTGCTGCATGTAGCAGCTGCGTGTGTGTAAACTGCCCCGCCCCCTCGCACACAGGCGGGGGAGAGAGATCTCTCGTCTGGATTGGAAAGATCGAAAATACAAAAAATGACGCATTTTGCAGTCTTTTTGCGTATTAGAAACGGAGTTGGCGACACTAAAACTGCAATATAATGTTTGTGTAGCAATAATACACATGACATATTTTTTAGATGTCTCCAGTACCGATAAAAAGACCGATAACGTCGGAGTTTAACGGTACCACGGTCTTTAATAATTCAGCCCCGGGGCCCGTTTAATACCGGGGCTCGGTACCCATCCCTACCGGTGACACATACTATACAGAGATGCTGTATGCGAAACCAATGTGAGTTTGGAAAATTGCACAGTATAAATCTATTCTAGTAGACCTCAACAATGGAATTATGATCAGTGGAAATGGCCATGACATGGGACCTTTAATCTTATGAGATATCAGTGCTAGAACAACTTGGGAGGACTTTCTGAAACAGCTCTAAACCGTCCCGGTTTGAATCCTGTTCACAGAACAATTATTATCTTGTCCATCTGCAATTATTTGAGCTACATTCATCTGTTCTACATCTACATGCTTATGCTAAGGTTATGGAAAACACAACAAAAACGTAACAAGTATTTTGCAGATGACAGAGATTTAGGTAACAATAAGGTGACAATGATCCCATACAGGAAGTGAATTATTGAACAAATGTTGCCTTTTATTCAATTCAATTTGAAACTACTCATTATTATAATGTAACTGCATCAAGTTGTTTTGTGAGTTGTGTTGGTATACATATTTTAGTGTTGGCTCATACATCTCCAAAACCAAGGTTAGCATGCTGTGCCTTCAGACTTCACTTGAGTCGTCATTTGTTGCTTTTTTAACCATTACTTCTGGACTTCTACCGTATCCTCTTTATACGTCCTGCGGTTGGTCGGCTCTGATTTGTTGGAATGATAACATTGATGGGAATACGATTAAGAAAACAAACACATTTCACATGCAAAGGTTTCTTATTGAGAGCAGACATGTGCAGAATAAGTGAAACAGTGCCTTAAGATTTAACCATTCGTTCAGATTGTATTTGAAAAACAGACATTTGGAATAGTTTGATTTCATTGACAGGGAGATTAACATAAGAACGCATGACATATTCATACTTTCTATTATTACTAGTAGCACTGATTTAAAAAGGAAAAAAGTGGCCATCACCGAAAGAGTTAACAAAATGGTAAGATGCGTTCCACTTCAGTGATTGTTGAGAACTCTCAGCTCTGACTTTACTGATAGAAATACAGGTGCTCAACGCAGCCCTTGTTGCCCGTGTTGAGATTTCCCAGGTCAACTTTGACACCAGCCTCCCGATATTCTTTAACCGCATCTTTGTTGAGAAGCAGGCCAATGGCCTTTATTGGGTGGTTGGATCCTTCTTTATTGTACCACAGGGACACTTTGTTACCTCCGGTCCCTTCGTTCAGGTCAACAATCACTGGCTTGTAATTTTGCGTCTGATATTCCAGATACCTATACTCAGTGATGATGACCAGATCTTTGAGTGCCTTCTCGGGGTCGGTGGTCTGACGGTACCAGATGAAGACATAGGCTCCTCCTGCACCTCTGTTAGTATCTTCATCCACACGAATGAAGCCATTCTGAAAGTGTTCTTTGTCTAACCCAAAGGAATCAGAGGCATTGACATCACAGATGTAGGTTTGTTTCTCTCTCTTCAGCCAGACGTGGATCCAGTCCCCACCAGCCCCGCGGTTCAGATCACAGGCCACTCTCTGCCAACCAAAACCAAACTTTTACCTTCATGGGCTGCATCTGCAGTGACACTAATTTCCACTATGGGAGTATCAAACTCTCCGGACTCTTTGGAGTACCAAAGGTAGAGTTTACTACCTCCTGCTCCAGCATTGAGATCTTTGTCGATCTTCATGAACCCTGCTTTGATCAAACCATGAGCCATTTCTTCGTTGAAGGAAACTTGAACCTTGGTGATAGGCACGCATCCATTTTTGTACCAAAGATAGCTGGGATTTCCTCCTGTTCCTTTATTCAGATTGACATCGATCTTTATAAAGCCTCTTTTGTTATGGTCTCGCTCCTCAGCTTCATTCAGGGACACAGCAAGCTCTGAGATGTAGGTGCTCATTGTGGGTTCCTGCATTAAAGAAAGACACATCATGAGTAATCACAATTGTAGTGAATAAATCTGACTTTTCAGCTGAGCTAGAATATAATCCTGACAAATTCAACCATCAGGAGTTACATTTTGAAAACAACAATGACATCTAAAACAAGTCAAAATAAAATGTATACTGCACAGAGTTCTGAAAATTATTGATTACAATGTTTGTGAAATATAAAAAAGGTATTACAGCAAGAAAATAAGACCTTGTTGAACACTTACGTGTGTGCTGACAGCGAATGATAGGCAGTAAGAAGTCAACTGGTGTGCTGAAGTCTGTTGTACTGAACACAGGTCAGCTGCATATATATAGAGAACAGAGATGCTGTGGGTCATTGTGCAATCGTTACCTGGGAGGAGGCATATTCCACGGAAAATGATACTGAATTCATGCCAAAACAATCCCCAAAGCCAAATGAGTGCCCGCATCAAGTGTGTTTATGGGTGTGAGTGTTTGTGTCAGTTCTGTGGAAGTCACATACCTGACAGGGTGACAGTTTCATTGGAAGAACATTGAGAAAGAATTGTGGTGCAAGAAGTAAAACAAAGCAGGAATGTAACACACACACACACACACACACACACACACACACACACACACACACACACACACACACACACACACACACACACACACACACACACACACACACACACACACACACACACACACACACACTCTTTGGATGAGTATTCACCTTAATCCCTTCTTTAGAGTTATTAGTAATTCAAGATTAATTATTAAATTAAATGTGGTACATAAGATAAAATAAATAAATAACTTTGACTTGATAATTTTGTTCACAGCATTAGACCTGTCCTCTAATCTCTACTAGAATAAGATAAGTGTGCATGTTGGGTGTTTTAACACTCCTGTGATGTACCTGATCTTGTTATCCTTTTCATTACCCCCCTTCATTTTCATAATTTCCTTTTGGTGCTGTGCGTGGTGATGAAAGCTGGTTCGAGGGGCCCCCAGTGAATGTTTGCCTAGGGCCCCCACAGACTCTAGAATCGCCACTGCCCGACAGTAAAGAATAAACATATTTATAACTAGTAAAGCTAGTTCCAGAGTAGATCAAATAGCTTTTTTATCAATTTGATCAAAAAATGTTTCCACAACAGGTTGAATGTCATAAAGGATATGTTATGTAAGCATTTTCATTCTTAAATGGCTTGAATTTTACCTTTAGCAACAAAAAGAAAAGCTTAGCTCGTTATGTCACATGTGTTAGTCTGGCACATGGACATCTTGGACATGTTGTCATGGGAACACAAAGTCACATGACCTGGCCCATGAGCCACCAGGCTGTTCAGTGTGTGTCACTCAGGGACTTCATGAGATAAAAACAAGGCTAAAGCTGTATAAGGAACTTTCCAGAACATTTAAAGGTCATGTGACACCTGTGTCACGGTGGGTCCTTATGGTCAATGGTGTTCTGAATGTGTTTTTGGTTGCTGAAAGAAGGTCTGTGGTTAACACAAGCTGAAGAGATTTTAAAAACACCAGTAATTGAATTTAATAAGTATAATAAACGTTTAAGGTTATTTTCTGCAATAATCCAAAATCCAATTTACAATTTAGCATTAAACAATATGTCATCCCTGCACCACGCAATACCTTCAAATGAAAACATTGGATTTTTATAGCGCTTTTCCTAGTGCTCAAAGAAGCTTTACATCAAATCAGAAACAGAAACAGTAGTCCTAATCCATGTGCGAGTAAAGTGAGTAGGGGGAGGGTTTTCATCTGGCCAAAAACATCTGATCTACGCTAAGCCAGGGCTATGAAGACAGTATTCCTCTTTTAAATCTCCCTCAGTCTTTATTCTGCCAGTATCTCCGTGTTGCCGTCCAGCAGCAGCCGGCGCAGCTCCTGTGGGTCTGTGACGGGGGGGGAGCAGGTGAAGTTTTGGCAGACGTAAGCCGTGGCGACGCCCCCCTGCTGTGACATGGAGGAGAGGTGAGGAAGACGCTGGCACAGGTAACTGTCTGCATCACCATCGATTAGCATCAACACCTGCAGGAGAGAGGAAGAGGAGGGGGTCGACAGGAGAGGCAAGACAAATGGGTTAGTTTAACATGACAGAGGTTTTAGTGCATGTCAATGGTCTGCAAAGGCGAACATCCCACACAAAACAGCCTGAAACGCCTCCACTGTACTCCTTTGTTTACTTCCAGAACATAGTGACATCCCTTTGTAACACTCACGCTCCTATTGGCTCCAACACATTGTACGTGATAGGCTAAGGGGCGGGACAGCTCTAAGCGGTTGACCAATCACAACAGAGCCGTCCAGCTAACCAATCAGAGCAGACTGGGCTCTGGTTTCAGACGGAGGGTGAAAAGAGGTGCTGCAGCACAGGCAGTATGAGAAAAATAAAGTGTGTGGGAGTTACAGTCACAAGATGGAGGAATACTGGTTCTTCTCGGTAATCCTCCATCCTGTCATTTACAAAATACTGAGTTTTTTTCACGTTTGCTTTTTTCAGAAAATCTCAAAATTCTGACTTTTTCTCAAAATTCTGACTTTTTCTAAAAATTCTGACTTTTTCTTAAAGTCTCAAAATTCTGACTTTTTTCTCAAAATTCTTACTTTTTATCTCAAAATTCTGACTTTTTTATCTCAAAATTCTGACTTTTTCTTAAAGTCTCAAAATTCTTACTTTTTATCTCAAAATTCTTACTTTTATCTCAACATTTTTACTTTTATCTCAAAATTCTGACTTTTTCTTAAAGTCTCAAAATTCTGACTTTTTTCTCAAAATTCTTACTTTTTATCTCAAAATTCTGACTTTTTCTCAAAATTCTGACTTTTTGTCTCAAAATTCTTACTTTTTATCTCAAAATTCTGACTTTTTTATCTCAAAATTCTGACTTTTTCTTAAAGTCTCAAAATTCTTACTTTTTATCTCAAAATTCTTATTGTTAATAATCCCTCGTCACCCGGCTTGAGCTTCAATCTCAGGATCCATGTATCTGTGATCCTCTCCAGAATGGAAGTAGTCATCACATACAGAGCATCAACTAGTTCCTGAACAGTGTCCTTCACATGCTGATATCCAAGAGAGGGAGTTACACAGTCACAAGATGGAGGAATAGAAAGCAGTGTTCAATGTTTACTTCAGATTAGCTCCACGTCAGAAATGATCATGCTTGTCATATGTCTCTCCCCATAGAGGCTGAATCATCATGTTAATCACATAGCTATCATATGCCTCAAACAGTCCTGATGCTCTTCTAGGTAATCAGACATCCTGTCATGTTCACAGCTACAGTTGGGATACCTTTGTTAGCATGTGTACTCTGATAGTGGAAGAGGACATTCAGTATTTTCACAACAGATAGAATCCTAGAGCAGAGTCTCCTCCTCTGCCAGCGTTCATCATGCAGAACTGTTTGCATCCCCTCCATCCTGTCTCAATGAGGCCCCTCAGCTAATTTAATGCACTCCAACATTCAGACGCTCATTTGTGCTGCTAGCCATCTGCAGCTCAGTTTGACATTTTTCCCAGAATCTGATTTTTCTTTCTCAAAATCAGATCTTTTACCAGAATTTTACTAATTTCCCAGAATTTGACTTTTTACTCAAATTTGACTTTTTCCTCAGAATTTGACTTATTTTCTCAGATTTCTGTCACATGTAACTTGAAACAGGAAACTATGGATCACTTCAAAGTGTAGAAGGTTTAACACACACACACACACACACTAGCATGCAGTGTTATGAAACGTGGTCATAGCGGTGTGACCGTTGCCATGGAGACAACAAGAGGATTTCCCCCCGCTAAAATACGAAACATTTTCCCTCTCCGTACAACTCATTTTTTTAACGCCTGTCAGCTTCACGTACTCCCTCTCAGGACCCTGAACACACCCAACTGAAAGGTCACGCTGTGTCACAACAACACCATCTTCACACTGCCCTGAGGACCTGACTGTGTGTGTGTGTGTGTGTGTGTGTGTGTGTGTGTGTGTGTGTGTGTGTGTGTGTGTGTGTGTGTGTGTGTGTGTGTGAGTGATGGAGACTAGAGAGCAACAGAGAGGGACAGATTAGGTGTGAATGTGTACGCAAGAACTGTGAATGTGATGAAGCGAATGCAAAGTGTGTAGTCTGCAAAATGTGCGTGTGTGTGTGTGTGTGTGTGTGTGTGTGTGTGTGTTGCAGTAGACAGCACAGTTGGCTACACATGAGAGCACAGTCAAACTCCCACAGGGTTAATCCCTTCATACACTGGGCATCCATGTAACACACACACACACACACACACACACACACACACACACACACACACACACACACACACACACCACACCACACACACACACCACACACACACACACACACACCACACACACACACACACCACACACACACACACACACACCACACACACACACACACACACACACACACACACACACACACACACACACACAATGTTAACTGTCCCTAAACTGACAGCTTCCTCCCACTCTTCTTCTCTCGTTCTGCCAAGAACAGTTGAGACGTTCAAAGAACATGCAGCACCTGAGCTGAAGATAACACACACACACACACACACACACACTTCTCAAAAATATATTGGCTTTTTTCCTTATTACATTTTTATTTATTTTTTAAGGTGGAAGGTTTTTCTGCCTCTTCCTGCACTCTGTGAAATGTGTTATCCATCATGTTTGTGTATTGTTTTTATTGTGCAGCAAACAATAAACAAACACACTGCTCCAAGCAATCCACAAAACAGGATGTACACACACTGAAACACACACTCTGGAGAGCCGCCGCAACACCTGAGGAAGAGCGATGACGGTGGCTGCAAATAGTGCCGAGTGCAGCCAAGCGCAAGGAGATTTACTTCCTCCATCCCTGTCACACACACACACACACACACACACACACACACACACACACACACACACACACACACACACACACACCACACACACACACACACACACACACACACACACACACACACACACACACACACAGTCACACATACACACACATACACACACACACACACACACACACACACAGTCACACACACACAGTCACACACACACACACACACACACACTCACAGTCACACACACACACCCACAGTCACACACACACACACACACACAGTCACACACAGTCACACACACACACCACACCACACACACAGTCACACACAGTCACACACACACACACCACACACACACACAGTCACACACACAGTCACAAAGGTTCCTGCTCAGTCAGGCATCTGGACCCACCGCCTCAGGACACACGCACGCACGCGCGTACGCACGCACGTACACACACACACACACCGTCAGTTTTCCGCTGACAGCGACTTCACCATCATTTACTCAGCTGAATATTCATTCAGGAAGAGGAAGAGGAGGAGGAGGAAGAGCCAAAGGGTGTGAGGAAAGTTGGCAGAAGACATTTGAAAAGAGGCGAAGAAGAACTGGAAACCAAACTAGAAAAGGATGTCCACCAAGTGTGTGTCCCTGACTTGTTATATGTTGTAGTATCTCCCTGAACAGGTGCCACTTCCTGTCATTTAAATACATTTTTCTTGCGGTTGTTAATTGGCTCGTGAGCCCGTTTTATTCCACAGTTAATAAACAACATCTTTGTTTAAAAAGTTCATTGTCTCAGGCTATTTATTTAGGCTTCCTTTATTCTCTAGAGTCTTGGGAAAGAGAAACTCCCTCTGGATTTTAACCTTTGCAGACCATTTACATGCACACAAACCTATAGAACACACTACAGGAAAGGGACAATTAAACCCCGAAAACGACTTTTAGACCTATCATGCTATATTTGAATAATATAGTGCAGGACCATACCTATATAAGGCATATTTATACTTTTTTTTTTTCAAAATACCAAACAGATCATGCATTTTAGCCATGCCTCATTTTGCTCAATTTGACAATTTCTAGCTCTGTTTTAGCAAGGGTTGATTCAGTGAGAACAGCACCACCTACAGGCCTGGCATATGTACTACAGCGTCTCCAGCGCTTTCGAACAGCAATGGCCGTGGCTGTCTCCTCCTGATTGGTGGAGTTGGCCCAATAGCCGTAGCGCCACCGTCCTGACGTCAGGACAGTGTTCAAATCTGGATCAGTTTTTATCAGATCCGTTGCAGCCCCTTTTTTAGAGATTTGGGTATGGAGGAAAATAGAGAGGGTTGTGTTTTCTGACACTTAGTGAGTTCCCTGGAACACCGGGGACACATATTCATGTATAAAGACGTGCAAAAGTGCATTTTGCATTATAGGTCCCCTTTAATTATGGTAACGGATCAGTTGAAATATGTATATTTTTATATACTAAAACTACTACAGATACTACTACTGTATATCCATAAGCTCTGATATCAGCAAACTGATTTCAGCTGCAGCGCTGCACTATGGCGTAAACACCTCACAGAGATAAAAACATGGACCCATTTCCAAGAAGTGAATGCCTTTTTTTAGACTGGAAATTAAATGCATGCTGGGAAAATGGATAAGGAAATATGACAGAAAATGATCTATGTTATCAACCCTTTACAACGAGGGTATATCCAGCTAAGATTATACAGAAACGTGTGTGTACAATCTAATTTGCTGCAGGCAAAATATCTACTTTATTTATAAAAATACCTCCAGACACATCAATTTACTTCTGAAGTGACATGTACTTTAAATATGTCCTGTCCACTCATAAGTCACCTTTGATGTCCTTAACAGTTTTTAACTTGACGTCACTTTCAAGACCGCACAAATTCCCTTTCATCTTAAATGCAACACGGTCTGATGGAGTGTGTGTGAGTGTGTGTGTGAGAGTGTGTGAGAGTGTGTGTGCGAGGGCTGATGGAGGACAGACTGCTGATTTAGTGGAGAGTGTCCTGTAGAGACTGTCAGCAGCAGGACAGAACACACACCTCACACACATTTAAGATACACAAGTGTGTGTCTGTGGATTCATGTCCAATGCACAATGAATGGACAATGTATTGATATCACAATATGGAC